GTCTCCAAGTACAATACTTAACTGAAATCCTTTGAAAAGTGGCCGCCTCTGAAAAAAAGTCATTTCGGTTTGCTATTTCACAGGGAGTGGCACATTTCCTCACTTGATATTCAAAAATTTATTAAATTTTGCTAGTTGATAGCGTTTAGGCCATTATAGAGGAAGCGGAAGAAGCTGAAAAGGTGAATTCCCCGCCAAGTTACACCCCGTAAAAGTTTCAAAATCTGCCAGCCGCTTAAAATCCATATCTTTACAGATTCGCAATTCAGTTCATCCTTATTGGAATCTGGCAGTGTTTATTCATAGATTCGCTATGTTCTGTACTTTTAAAGACGTCTAAAATAATTTAATTCTACCTAAATAGTTTTATAGATACAGTAGAAACAAAATTTCAAATAGATATCTAAGAAAAAACGTACTTTTGAATTTTTTTTCAAAAAAAAAACATGTCTCGTGTGAATTTTTTTGTCAGTTTATTTCGATTTAATTTAATTTATTAAATTTACTTGTTTATTTCAGCGTTTGAGGGGTTAATGAAGAAAGAGATTTCTGAGCCTTTAGAATAGTGTCCGTAGCAAACTCATTAAGATTTCCGTTACACAAGCGACTATGAACTTAACTTCATATATTTTCTTCAAACTTAAGTGTAGTTTTCCAAACCGACTAGACATAAAAACCTTTAAAAAAGCTTAAATCCAACAGCAAATTTGTTAAAGCAGTGGGTTTATAGAATTCTTTGTGACGCCAGAGCATGCAGTAGCTGCAAAACTTAGACAGGAGAAAACATGAGAAGCAGGAAAAACTAGAACGAAAACTCCTTTTTAAAACTGTGCAGAATATTAATTTCTTAACACGTTAAAGAAAAAACAACTTTTTTTACAAATCTCAAATGATTAAAATTTACCGCATTTGGGTTTTGCCATTGTAAAATGCATGGAACTACTGTAAAAAACAGTGGGATTTTTTCAGCTTTACACGTCTTTTCGGCTCTCGATTGCGGATACCGGGAAAGTGCCACCACTAAATTTTGGTACGTTGTAGAACAAGAAACTTTACACAAAACATGTTTCTTTTAAAAAATGTAACAATAAATTTTTTTTTTCTGAATTAACTTGAAATCTTCTTTTTACAGTATCTGTATAACCTTGTAGCAGAACTAAAACATTTAACATGGAACGAAAAGTGCAGGGCATAGAGAATCTACTGAACAAAAACTGTCAAACACTACCAAGAGCGGACTTAACTACAAAT